TAATATTAATTATCGCAGCTTGACTCAATTTAAATATGCTCATTTTGTTCGATTTAAGCCGTCCAATGATCTTTCTATTTGTAAATACAACGCGCTTGCACCGACACAATCCGAAAGGTGTACCGTCACATCCATGCCGTATGATGGTTGCAAATAAACATCCAGTGCACTCTTTTTTTCTTCATTTCGATACTTCGTTGATTTTGCTTTGCATCGTTTTTGTTCGTAATATTGCTAGTGCGGCCCGGTCGATGCAGAAGCCTATCATTGTTACTTAAAGACAAAAAAGAAGAAGTGAAAAATGCTACCGGAACACTAACACTAGCCCATAAATAACAGCGATATTGAAGTGCACCGGGTTGGGCCGCTCACTTTGCTACAAAAATTCGCAACTATAAATTGTCATCGAAAAATTGAAGATGAAATCTACAGTTTCGATGTGTTTTAATCGTTCAATGTATCATACACCCATTCGGTGTCAGTTTGAGAAATGCACAAATGGAAAATGGAAGTGCGTTTGCTCGAAACTGACTGACAAAAAAAAAACGAGAAACTGTTGGAATTCCATCAATATTCACACGGATCGGAATTGAAGAAGCACGTTTCAAGCGTGTGGCTTCATTTGACATGTTGTGCTGACTTCTTGAGAATAACAAAAAGACAGAGCTCTTTAAACAAGCACATAGGGATCGCGGTGCGTTATTAATTTTGTGATGCGTTCGTAAAGAATTTTTTGAATTTTTAGTTCGCCACTGTGCTGTGCTGTGATGTGAAGCATTCATCATCATTTTTCTTTTCCGGAACGACCACATACATGTGACGAACCGTCCAAAGTGAAGGATGAACCAGCACACATGTATCGAAAACAGAAGGAAAAAACAACACAAAATACAGAAGAAAAAAAAAATCAAAGAACCGAAAACAATATGTTTCGAATGCGACGACTCACTGCTACCGAAGATTATTCATGTAATAAAATTGTAAATTGTTATTAATTATATGATTTATAATAACAATAAATAAAACGGGGCAATTAGTTGGTAGCCAATCCAACATCTAGATGCAGCGAGAAAAATATGAATTGAATCGTGTTTCACGTGTACGCGCGCTCACTAGCGTCCGCTCGTTCGCCTCCATCCGAGTTTTTGTTTTTGTTTTCGCTTCGCTTTATTTATGGTTTCATCACTCTGGCTTGAGCTCTCGGAATGCCCAAGATATAATCGAACGTCGAAAATAAAAACAAATAAACATTCCCGAGTATCATTCATTATTTTTTTAGAATTTCTCTTTTTTTCGGCGGTTGGCGGTTTGGTGCGTCTCATTTTGAGAAATTGAAATTCTGGTGGTCGCCGTGCAATTTTTTTTTTCTCTCTCTCTCTCTCTCTCTCTCTGCCTCGAAGGTCCAAAGTGATCGTTCATATTTTTCGTTTCTGGTATGGTTGGGTGAAAGAGCTGAAGCGTCAATTTTAAGTCGTGCAATCGTGTGTCTGATGCATGTTTAGGCCTTGATAAGACAGTTCCATTAAAAATAAAGTGCTTCGTTATATATCGAATATATTGATTTCACTTCACAATAAAACAAAAACCAACATGCTATCACAAAATTTGTCCACCAAAACATCATTTGTCATTTATTTCCGACATACACACAAGCCATGTCCAGTGTCCACTTGGTACAATTTTTGTGCTGTGTCAATACTTAATGCGTGCACTTTCGACATTCACCTATTATTAATGGTTTCATTTGACTAGCGCACGTAATTGGCAGATAAACAGACCCATTGTAAGTGTGTAACGCGGAGACAATCTTCGCATGAAGAAAGTCGGCATCAAAGTCAATTTCAAGTCACTTTATAACATACGATTGATTTCGATCGGATCGATTGAGTTCATTCTTTTTTCTCGTTCTTTGTGCGTTTTAAGTTGTTGCGTACATACACGAGATCAAATGACAATTAAATGTTAAGTTTAATGAAATGGAATACGATGACACGAAGTGGAAATAAAAATCGATTCTGTGTATTTGAACAGAGCCGAAAACCATTTCAAACTAATGTGTGAGTGATCCAAAGATGGGAGATAAAGCTCGTTTGACCACTTTATTTTGTGGTTGTATCTATTTCGGTGCGGTTGTTGTTGTTTTTTCTGCAGAGATTACCCAATTTACGATTGATTCTCATTTAATTGATTTGATTCGATGTACTTCATTCTGATGTCCACTATAAAATTCATAATTTCGGCAAGTGATTTTGTGATAACCGTAAAACCAGAAATTTGCTGAACTCTTGGACTTGTCGCCCAACAATGTAACGATTAAAGCTGCGCATGATCGGGTTTATCCACAGCAAAGTGGTTTTTATTCAGTGTGTTGTTTTTTTTTCTCCCTCTCCGCCAATCGGCCAGCGATGACAAAAACACACACACACTTCGATCACCGCCGCACACAACGAAGCACATAAAAATCCGAATGACTCAATAAATTTGAAGTTCAATAGATATGGAGAATCGGATACGAAGTGAAGAGAGAAAAAAACAGAGCGCGGCACAAAATCACAAAACATATTTCAGTGAGGAATTTTTAGATGAAGTGTTTCTCATTCATTTTCGATATGCGACGGGTTTTTTATGTGTCGCTTTTTAAGGTGAACATCACTTATTTGTTTGTCAAACACCATTCGCTCGCACCAATCACAATCGCATTTTTTATGCAAAATTTGTTTTTTTTCTTCTTTTGAACAAATTCGAACGATGGAAAACGAAGCAAATGCAAAAGACATAAGTCACACCGCAATCAATCAGTTAAAAATATTTGGCAATTTTCGAAGAATCCGGCCGACCAACGGTGCGCGCGAGCGAATACATTTTGGAAGTAGCCGCCTGTGCACGAGCTCACACGTTTGAATATGAATTTGCGTGCGGCAAGTGGCGAACTCAAAAAGCAATCCCATTTTTGGAATGCTATTTTTTTTCCACTGATTTCATGCAATCAAAAAACATTTGGTTCGGTCAAACGAGCCTAAATCACCGATCTTACCATGAAGTGTTGTTGTGTTTCTTTCGTTCTCATGATTGTGAACAGCGTGCTTGAAAGCAGGAGGTGATTGTTCACTCAGCAAAAAAAAAAAGAGACATGCTGATTTTTTGTGTCTAATTTGTAATGACCACAGTTCATTTCATTGTTTGCTTTCTTTGTGGTCACTTGCAAAATGCTGCCTAGCATTTTCTCCATATTTTTCCTCCTTCGTTCAACTATGTTTTCTATTGTGTTGCAACTAATGAATTCCACGAATTTGTGGATTTTTCCGGAAATTTCACATTCATTCATTCAAAAAAAGTAGAAAAAGACGAAGACGCATTGAATGCGAAAAAAGCACCGAACACAACAATCCGTCGGCAAACTGTGCTACTGTAGCTTAAGTTCGCGGCCGAGAGAGACATGTGCAAAATCGAAACATCGATCGTATAACAAACAGACCAAGTGAGTGAGAGCAAGACAGAAGAGTATTGAGCAGAACTATGGCATAGCCATCGGATAATCCATCGAATAGATAATTGAACTCTTGGTTTGTTTTCTCTGTTTCTTTTCTTCGTTGATAATCCCAGCAAACAGCACACACACACACACCGTTACAGTAGCCCGAGAACATAGACATTTATCTTTGTTTAGTTTTTGTCATGTTTGTTGTGTACTTTTCCCATTTTTTTTGTTGATATTTGTGTGTGTCTGTCTCTTTCTACTGCTCGCTTGCCGTACACAAACTGCAGTACACTCTCTGCATTCCTTTTTTGTCGAATTGTTGTTATTTTTCAAACTGTTTGTGTCCTCTCTTTCTCTCGTTCAATTTACCCGTTTCTGGTGAAAAATTTGGGATTTAAATGTTTGAAAGAGCTGTGTGCAAGAGAGAAGGACATGGAAAGAAAGACATGTAAATAATTTTCAATTATGTTGTTTTGCTTTTCGACTTGTTCGATACTGGTTCTTTTTTTCTCTTCTTTGGTCTGAGCTTGTGTGTTTTTGCGCTTGGTTTGTTGATGCTCTTGTTTCTTTGGCAACTTTTATCTGCATCTCTTCTGACACGACTTGGACGCGCTTTTTCTTTCGTTACGCCGTACTCATTCTCTAAATGAACATGTATGTGACAAAATGAGCTCAGGTAAAATGAGTCATTCGAATTTCTTTCGGCACCGCACACACACACACACTTCTCTTTCGATCTTGTCCTGCGTTGAACCAAATCTTATTCTAATCACTGCAATAGCTGCTTGTGTGAATGAGAATATAATGGAAGGTTTAAGAATATGTATCGTTTTGCGAACTAAGAACTAATCCATCAAAGACGAAATGTGCCGAAAGATGCACTCGAATGGTTTGTGTTAAAAACTCCCCCCAAACAATGTGCACATATTGTGCAGTTTGAAACCATTGAAACGGTATTTTCTTCCATTGCGATCAAAAGCAATTGCAGATAAATGAATGGCATTGATCCATAACCATTTGTCACCACATGAGTTTGCTAAGTATGTGCGGTTGGAAATTAAATTTTTCGCTTCAATGCAATTTTTTCCCGAGATAAATGACAATTTTCCAACAACCACCAATTGTCAACATTTCAATGCAATTGTTTGTTATGCTCTGAATTCCCATGGAAATGCATGGTTCATCTCACCTCTGTACGTCTATTAATCTATGTTACATCAACGGTGTTTTTGCCGTCGCCCATTTCAAACAGCATATTTTTTGCATCATTTTCGTGTGGTCTACGAATGCAAACGTGCGTATCAACAATAGAAATTGCGTTTTGACTAGAGAGTCGTGTTGCTGCATGACAAGGAAGTGACAAACAAAACGCCCATCGGTTTTTGTCTGTTCTAAAAAAAAACATATCTTTTGTTAATCACGTTTAATTCCAGTTGCAATTTTACATTATGCAGCACGTTTTTCAAATTTTCCTAACATTTTTCTCTTCATTTTTTTTCTTCTTATTCTCCGCACATTTTAGGACAATTCAATGGCTCTCCACTCGACAGAAGCCCTAATGGCGGGTTATTTGAAATCATCGGATCTCGGACCGCATGCACACAGCTACGGTGCACCACATCCGCACCATTCTGCACACGCACATGGCCCATTGCCGCCAGGAATGCCAATGACATCACTACCTTTCGGTTTGCCACATGGATTGGATACATCTATTGGCTTCCCGCAAGGTATGTGGGGTAAATATCAATTCATTTCTACCTAATTATTTTAGCTCATTTCTCCCCTTTTCGCTTGCTCGGTTCGTTTTGAAAAAATTCAGTTGTTTTTAAAAACAAAGAAAGAAAGAAGAGAATCATCGGAATTTACTTATCGTATTTCGGGTTTTAGCAATGCTGACACAAAATCGGTGCGCCGTCTCATCGTTGAGATTGATTATGTGACAGAAAGATGAAATGGAATTGAAATGGAACGGTGTGAATAAAACGATTAAGTGTAAATTAAAGTCGGAAAATGTTTTTAATACATTCGTTTTTAAATCGCGCGTCATTAGAATCGGCCAATGATTAATGTCTTTTTCAATAAATGTTTCTTTCATCTCAGTCTTTTCCACATTTGTTCATTCGATTGTGGCAATGCATTGCTTGGATCGAAAGACGACGCAATGTCGCGCTGAATATTCAATAGCCAACAACTTAAAATATGTCATTCTTCAAACGCACATTTTTTTATGTGTCTTGGTTATTCGTTCTTTCGCCGTGTGTCATTTATATCGTTTTCTTGTGTGTCTGTGTCAATGGATTCCTTGATTTAGTTATGCCTGATGTAGCTCAGATTAATATCATTTGATGCTAATACCAAGCGTAACATCTTAAGCTCGACTGCAGCAGCAGCAGCAGAAAAAAGCAACGAAAAAAAAATGGGAAAAAATGTGCGCACATCAAACACATTAGTCTTATCTGCTATGCACTCTTTCTCAGTCGACTCAATTCAAATCAAACGAAGAAGAAGAAAAAAAAAATTATACAAAATATTTTTTTATGGTCAATCAAATATGACCAGTAGCTGTAAATGGGCCAATTTTCTCATTCGGCTCTCTGTGAACTATTTTCTCGGGCATTTTTTTCTTTTCTTTGGATGTCAGAATGCATAGCCGAAAAAAAAATGACTAATGGTGAGATAAGCGACAAACACAAGAATCTCGTACTTATGGCACCTTCGTCATCATCATTTTGAACGAGAAAATGTTGATTCTTATCCATTGCTCATAATTGTGATTATGCGATCGAAAAAAGAAAAGAAATTTGTTACAATTATTGATTCAACTGGCGCTCTCCGTATATCTCTCTATGCTTATTTTATCTCGAAATAACGAATTCCATTTCGATGTAATTGAAATCGACCGAGTAAGAGCCAGTAAAAACAGAAACTATGGCGCACTTCATTAAGTGGCCTGCATTTGTTGCCATGGACACCACACGATTATTTTCGTTTCGTAAATTCCAATGATTGATTCGTAGTAAATGTCACATCGAGGTCTTTTCTTTACGCTGAAGAAAAGAGACAAACGCGGCACGAAAATGAAGCTAGAAAAAGAAGCAAAAGAAAATAAATCATGCTGACGATGAATGTATGCATATTCAAAGTAACGTCCACATCGAGAAGTGACCGAACAAAAAAAAAATCGGTAATATTTTCATGAGCAATATTATCGCTTCAGTGAATATCGTGACAAAATTCTTGTGTCGTTTTAAAAGCATTCCCCATCAACGCGCGCGCTGTGATCCATTTCGCTTCTTCAACGTCGTCGGTGTATTTCATTTTCACCACATTCATTTCAGTTTTTGTTTCTCTCTCTCTCTCTCTCGGTCTTACTCTTGTCAATTTTGCCGCGAGTTTTTGTCCACTCGAAGACTTTTGTCGTCGTCGTCGTTATTTCCCCACTTTTGTTTTAGTTAGAACCAATATGATCACTCATCGTGCGCTTCGATTTTTTTGATGTTAATACTTTGTGCTTTGTTTCCCTTTCGACATTTTCCTTTTTCCGCGCCGCGATTCACGTATCAATACTCTCGATCGAGCAGTATATCATCGCCACACTCCTTCGTTCTCTGTCTTTCATTCTTCGAGTTTTGATCTTTGGCTGTTCGTTCAACTTATCACTTCTTTTGTTCGGTGTTTGCTCACGGTTGCTCATGATCGAAACGCAATTACACAACCGTTTGTTTCTCTTCTGCTCGCTTAAATTTTTAAAATCAATCTCCCGATTTCTGATTCACACGACGTCATATCGCATTTTCGTACGTTGGACAATTTTCGATTGGGCTTTTTATTTTAAGTATTTTCCTTCATTTGTATTTCTCTCGCGCCCCTCCTCTTCAGAAAAGAAGAAACCAAATTTGCAGTCCAAGTGATTGACTGTGAATCACGACCGAAAGACAAAACAACAACAAGTCGAACAAAAACGGAAAAAAACCGAAAATATATCTTTAATAACATGTTGACAGGCTCTTAAATAATTTTCCTTCACTTCGTTATGCATGCGCGACTTTGCTGTCGCTCTGATGGGTTTCTGCGGTGGAACATCGAGCGGTGATGGCTGCTCCAAACATTTTGCCATCATTTTCATTCGGCATCGCACAAAGAGAAAGTCGAAAATATGGCTCACAACGAGATCGAACTAAATTGAGTGAATTTCGAAATGATTGTAATCGATGTGACAAGCCCACGGGAAAAATAACAAATTCGATACAAATGCCAAACATTTATAGAGGCACTCACTCTCGGCAGAAACAAAAAATTCACACCAAAAATAAAACGAAGCTAAAAGCAGAATGAAATATGTATGTGCCGAACCGAAAAAATAATTTCGGTGTTTTATTTACGATTTATTTAACTTGGTCCGCAGTTGATGTGCCGGAATTTAAGGGATTTAAATGATGTTTATACCATTTATTAAGCCACTCAAATCCATTCTCTGTGGCTGAAATTAGTTTTTAGCGTGCATTAAATTGTAATCTAATTGTTGTTTATTTACAGCGTGAAGCGTTGTCTTCATTCCATTTTCATAGATAATTTCGAATGCGTTGACAATATATATATATATATATATATATAATGGGACATTCTTTTCACCCACAACATGGCTATGTCATTCCGCCGCGGAACGGAGTTGGCACACAAAACTATGCATAAATCTTTTGGGCACACAATTCGGCATGTGACATAAAGCGAAAAATAAAAATAAGTTTCATCGACGCGTTCACGCGCACACCGCCACCCCGATAAGCGGTTTATCTTGAAATTGCAGGCACTCGACACATTTATATGCGCCGAACACAAAACACCAACCAATCACCATTTGAAACAAACGAAATGAAAACACATTCCCGCTCCCATTGCACGGGCGCCAGAGTGATTTTCGGTGTTTTGATTTCCCGAGAAAAAAAAACAAACAATCAGCCACACACACACACACAGTCCAAAAGAATAGAAACTTCGGCGAGCGGAAAAAGTTTGCCTATAAATTGAATTAAAACAGCGACTGTTGAATTATCGTCCGTTTTTCGGCGATGTCTGTCTGCCGCATCGAAATATTATACGGGTTGGCATTGGTAAAATTGTCGCTCGTACATCATGCTCATTTTCAAATTTATTGAAGATTTACGATGCAAAATTAACACGAATGCGTCGCGCTGAAGCCAATTGATCATTTGACGGAATTTTATTTACGAAAATCACGCATGCAATTTTCACGCGTTTTATTGAGAACAAACATGCTCGCCCCGATTCTGAAACGAACACCACTGGTTGTGATCCTGCGTCGTTCAATATTTTTCTTTCGGTAGGCGAAGTTCTAAAAAAGGAAGCAGAAGATTCGGAATAACAAGGAAAAAAACTTTTCAATTCCATTGAAAGCGCTAAAAACAGCCAAGGCACTCGTCAACAATGAAAAGCAAACCATTGTCACCATTGTTGCGTTGAAAATGCGAAATTTTTGTTGTTGCTTTCGTTTTGCTTCAGTTCACTCGTTTTCGGTGGAGAAGTTTTTTTTTTCAGGATGAAAATCACATCTGCAACCGTTCACACGACGGATTTTCCCATTTTGCGTGACACAAAATATTTTGCCCGAAAAGAAAAAAAAAACCAATACCGAATGCGAGAGCTAGAGGGAGAGAAAGAGAGAAAGAGTGTGGGAGAGGAAAAATGTTTAAATTAGCGGATTCTTACGCATAAATAAACAGCACGATATGAGTTATGCGCACGCCGCACAACCCATAGATATGAACAGCCATCGAGAACGAGTAAGAATTTGGCGGAAAATTTGTCATTGGTGAAAATTTCATCAGGCGTTGATTTTATTTTCTTTGCTTAAGACTTTCGGGGTGGAATTCAAGCGGCAAAAATATATAAATTGTATATTTTCACCGAATTTTTAAGCGCTGTCTGTTCATTGGTGCGCCTACGAACATTGTGATTTTGTGTGTCGTAAATTAAACGATTGATTAAATTCGATGATAAATGTTTTTCTCTTCGCATTATTCAGCTTCATTTCTTCGATCTATTGTCAAGAATATAACTTGCCGTGGGATTTTTTTTTTTTTAGGGAAAATATCTTCAATTTGGCATTGGCTGTCGTTCTCGAATCTTTCTGTAAATGGGCAATAACAATTGTTATTCTGTATTTTAGCGCACGCTTCGCTACAGTTTCGTTTTTTTCGGTTGTTATTCTTCGAAGAAGAAGAAAAAAAAAACATGCTATAAATCTGAGCCGCTGATGTTTTTCGGTTGTCTGCCTTTTGTTAATTTCAAGAACCACTCGAAAAACATCGAATGTAAATTCGCTGAAAAAGTTGATGCAAAAAAAAAACGAAATAAAAATATCACGATTCAAGAAAGCAAACAAAATGGCAGCCCAGTCTGAATGAACGCGAGGCGCGTACACTGAGCAAAAAAAAAAGTAAATTATTAAAATGGAAAAATCTACATCGTTGCCATTCGAATAAGAATAATGGAAAGAATTTCTGGATTTTTCCTCTCTTTCCTGTCTCCCTCTCGCTCTTTCTCTGTCGCTCTGTCGTATTCACTCAATTGCCTCGCATCAACCATTTATTCCTTTATTTATATGTATTTGATTTTGCTTTTGCTTTTCTCGTATTCTAATTCGTTGCCGTGAATACGGCATTTTTATCGTCACATGAAACGCAACAATGCTCAGCTCCGAAAATCATTTGGAGTT